TTGCCTTGAGCAAAGACCCATCTGACAGTAGCTATGATATCCCTTGTTCCACGTCCTCTTCTGAATCTAGCTTACACCTCTGGAAGTTCTCTGTCAATATATTGCTGCAACTATTTTTGAATTATTTTCAGTAGGATCTTACTTGCATTCGATATTAATGATATTGTTCTATAATTTCCACATTCTGTGGGATCACCTTTCTTTGGAATGGGTACAAATGATGGGCAGCCCATTATATAGTCACTTGGTATCCCCTGGTTAGATATTTATAGCTACTATACAACAGCATACAGAGAGCAGCTTTATAAATGGTGAGTCATTTGCCAGCAGACAAAGTATGGCTTTTCTCCAAGACCCCAGGATTCTCATATTATGGTTTAAAAATGACTAGTTGTCACATCCTTATCCATGGATACCTTAAGCACTATCAGATATGCTGGATGTAGTTTGCCTAGCAGAACAACTTGTACTATAGATACAGAAACTGGGTGGGGGAACACACTTTTCAACTTCAGCTGCTAACAAATTTTGGTTAGTCAGGTGTCATTTAAAAATTTTTTGTACAAAAAGAATATACCAGTCAGCTGTGCATACATGTAGCTCTGGAATAGTATGATTTATAAACCAAAATAAACCAGTGCCATTGAGTTGATTCCAACTGGTAGAACCCCCCAGTGGGTTTCCAAGCCTGTAAATCTTCATGGAAGGAGATTGCCATACCTTTCTCCCACAGAGAAGTTGGGAGTTTGAACCCTTGACCTTCAGGTTAGCAGCCCAATGCCTTACCCACTATGCCACCAGAACCCCTTAGTGTGAGCTATAAGGCATTGCCATTGGGCTCTGTTGGTCAAATTACCCTGACTCCATTCTAGCTTGCTTCTCGTTATGATAATTATGCCCACCTTGCCCTTGAGGTTTTTGTGCCACCACCTGGGCCTTTCCATTCTGAAATTCTATCATCACCATCATCAGTTCATTGCACCATTGCTTGCTTCAAACCATGGCTTGCAGAGACGAGCCAACACTGAGCTGCTCAAAAATGCAGTGTCAGGTTACCCAATAAGCAAGGTTAAGGCTCACTTGTGCTTACTTACTGATCTACAGTGAGTAATTTCACATTTTTTCACCACACCAAAGATTTTGCTTCTAGGTATGGCTGGCATCTCTCTCCCAACCCCACAGCACCTTCCTGCAGAATCAAAGCCTCTTTTCAAATTTATAATCCTTAACAGGGATGGAGTACCCAGTAAGCCAGGTAAGCACCACATACCCATGTGAAATTGTTCACTACAGATTAGTAAGTAAACTCAAGTCAGCCTATGCTTACCTTGCTTTTGGGGTAATCCACCCCTGCAAAAATTCCAGTGTGAGCACATTCTTTGTGTTCTCTCCTCCCTTCTAGGGAACAGAATTAAAATACAGGTCCTCTGTTCTGATGCAATAAATGATTTCTAATACTTCCACTCCCTTTGACCTTCTCACCAATTCCTCACTATTCTGTCAAGGCAGTTCCAGTGTCCCTATCACATTTATTGTAGGCTTTTGTTACCCAGGGTTGAAGATACCACCCCAGCAGCAAGCATATTGGACATTATACCCAGAATTAAAGGTGTGCTCTCTCATAAATGCTCTATCTTGACATATATTCTTCCCCTTTTCCTTGCCAGTTTGACACCCCGAAATCCATTCTCACACATATTATCCTAGTTCATGCTAGCACATAGTAGCTGTGCCCTCGAGTTCCTTCTTAATATATCTTTTACCTAAATAGATTGTTTTATGCTCCTTGTGCTGTGATACCTTATCCATGAATGAGTTTGAAACAACGAAAAACATCAGCATTGGATTTGATCTTTTGAAATGGTGTCCAGGAATGAGGAGTCTGCTCACTAATAACAAGGGGTTAGGGGACAGCTTCTGCCAGGTTGAGGCCCTAGGGGATTTTAAGTATCCAAGATTCTCATGCTTAATACCATTTCAGGTGCCAGGGTTCCATTTTTTTTTCCCTATCAGCATCCATATATTGATATCAAAACCCAAACCAAACCCATTGTGTGGAGTCGACTGTGACTCATAGCAACCCTTTATGAGTAGAACTGCCTCATAGGGTTTTTCCAAGGTTGTGAATCTTTATGGAAGCAGACTGCCACATCCAAATGCTGTGTATTGCTTCCTTGCAGCTGTGAAAAACTTAGAATCTGGGCCTGATACTTAGAAGTCTGCCTTATGATTGGAGGAGATGGTCTTTTAACCCAGTGGGTTAGGATATGTGACAGATTTCCCATTAGACACACAAACTGGTGTTAGAGATCCAGGTGATGGCCATCTTAAATCTGCCTTAACAATTGCTCAGGCCAGAAAGGATCTGAGTCCACACAGGCACAAATCCACCTCCATGCCCAAATGCCATCCAATGGCCCCAGATGCAAAGAAGAGAATACATGCTTGTCTGAGGCACGTCTCCCTTACTTCAACATATGCCATATGACATCCTAGGAGGCATCAGGCCCCTCACTTCACCTCACACCAGACACCCACACCTTACAAATATGGGGAAATCTAGGGACTCTGGCTTTCAGATCCAAGCATTCAGCCCATGACTCTGGTAAATATTTCTATGAGAATGAAATGGTACATCCCAGTCATCTGAGAAAGTAGACTGCCCCCTGGGTCACAGTATTAACATGTCCTTTCTATGGACCTGGAATGTGTCCTCAGAGACCATCCTTAAATCTCAATTGGTTTCCACCTCATGGATGCCATGAATGAATGGATGAGGTAGTAAAAAAATATTTAAACCTAGAAACAGTTCCAGTGAGAAAGCCAAAGGTAGGTAATACACTGTAATCAGAGAAACAGTGTTACAGATCAACTGAAATGTATTTTCTCAGGGAATAAGGTATGTGTGTGTGTGTGTGTGTGTGTAGCATGATGATTGTCTGTTGTCAAATACTTCTCAGGGCCTGGAGCAAATAAAATGGGTTTGTACAGACAGTATGCCTGATGAGTCCAGGTCTCTTTCAGGCAGGGTTCAAAGCAGGTTCTATGGATCAGAAGCTTATTTGATTTGGAAGGCCCTTTTCTAAAATAATACAAAATCATGCGTGAAAATTAATATTTATTTAGAATGACAAGATAGTTTATAATGAACATTTAAAAGGTGACAATTACAACAAGCAAAACTTCCAGATTGTATGTATCTTAAAAAAAAAAAAAAGCACACACCATTTATATAGTTGTACAATCTGTACTATGATGGAATGAAAGTCCTAGGTGGAAGATACAAAGGTTATGATTTTTTTTTTTGGTTTGAAAACTCAATGCCTTTTACAAATTAAACAAACAAACAAACAAAAACACACCACGTGGCCATGTGAACACACAACATATGTGACATATAAAACACACTAAGAGGTTAAAGAAAAAGGCAGTCAGATTTGTTAAGCCTTTAGTATTTATTTTCACATCAAATATTTTAAATAAACCAGCTTTTCTAACATTTTTTTCTCACAAAAAGGCTCGTTTCAAGTTAGGATAAACCATTCATTGGCTTCAGATTGTAACTTTCACTTACGTTTAACCATATTTGGATAATCGCCCTATTTAGCCGAATGGAGACTTTTTTCTGTGATCCGTTTCCATATTCCCAGATCCTGGTCCATCTACAACTTGCTTGTAGCCAGGGCTTCAATCCAGTTTATTCCTGTTTGATGCCCTGCTAAGATTCTACATTTCCACCCCAGATAGACTGAATCAGAATCTACATTTAAACATGATCCCTTGCGGATCTAGAAGAATTACCTGGTGATCTTGTTAAAATGGAGATTCTGATTCAGTCTACCTGGGGTGGAAATGCAAATACAAATTTCCAGCAGGCTGAATCAGAAGAACTGGTTCAAAGCTGTGCTTTTTACAGCCTGGAATGACTTACCAATCAGCATCTACACTGTTGGAACCTGTTAGCGCTACTACCCTATGAATAAGCCAGATGATAAAGCTTGCTTGATTTGAGACGAATGACTACGTTTTTGAAGATACAAGACTCAGAAGAAAAGTGACTGCTTTTTCTATAGTTTATTTAAAACTAGATGCGCTCTTAAGTGGTCAGCCTGGATTCATAAGTCTAGAGTAGCCAGACTCTGAATACAATGACTCTAGCTGCCTTCCACATGAGGCAGATGGCAATTAAGAAGATCCAGTCACTGTCAGTTAAGACAGCCAGAAGTCTATCTAAGAAACCATTCGGCCAATGGTAGACACTCCCATAAATGGAATTCCAGGGAAGTGTACAGTGAACAATCTTGCTCAAGGCTTCCAAAATGATGTCTGCTTGCTGAGATGTCATTCACCCACACACTACATGCAGATAATCCAGTAACTTTATATTTGGATTTCAGATTGTTTTCTTGCAAAAGCATTTGAAGTTAGTTATCATATATAGCAAAGCTTCTCTATCTTTGGTTCTGTCTCTCAGAGATTTATTTTTTCCAAAAATAAATAGGCATGGCAGGAAAAATAATTCAGCTATCTTAAGAGATAACCCAACATTTCATAAAAAATTAAGCAAAAAAAAAATATATATATATATATAACTGATGCTTCCTTTAGACTTTTTTCAGATTATCTTGCTTAATATCAGATACTATTCACATTTCATATTTTTAATATGAAAATGATTGCACACATTGTATTTAAATACACAGTATAGACAAAAATGTCATAAAGCAAAATATTTTTCCCTTAAAAATTTAGGAATTATGCACTGTGAAAATGTACAGGAAAATAGAATTGCTGAAATATGTTAACAAAACTGATTTTGAAGAAGCGCAAGAAAAGGCAATGAAGATATAGTGATACCCAGAGATTAAGTAAAGGTCTCAAAAACTGCACACTCTCCCATTTCCAGAAAATATTTACATTTAGAGAAAATCGTTTGGAGATTTTTTTTTAGAACAAGTATTTATGAAAGCTCCCTGTTATGGTTTAGACTCTCAGGAGATTTAATGAGATTCATTTGTTGGTGGTTTCCTTCTCTTTTCAAATAAGATTTTTGCATCAAATAATTCCCTTTCCCTGTAGCCTAGGCATGGTCCTTTTAGATATTTTGCTTCAGCTTCTTTGTAATCTAATCCATCCACACCAGAGATTGAACAAATGATTGCTTCTGGCAGAAGAACTTCCATAAGAAAATTGACTTGGTCATTTCTTATCCGTCTCCGCAGCCCCTCATCTATTTGACTGTAGATTTCTTGTAAATAATTTACCACTTCATCCAACTGATCTTCATCTTCAAAGTAGGTTTCAATACAGGGCATGAATCTATCAGCATTCAAAAATGATTTCAGCCACCTGGACTTTTTCCTGCCTTTTAAAATGGCCAGAAGATGGTTCTCTGTTCCCTTTGCATTCACGATGAAGTCTACTAGATTCTTGTTGGCTCGGTCTCGAGCGGCCTTCATTCGGTCAGGCAGAATTTTCTGGAAGGACACTTTCTTGGTCTTGGAAGCCACGACCAAAGCCTTCACAGTCCCTTCATTGTGCAGTTTTGGAAAAATATCCCTCAGGGTATCCCGTTTCATTTCTTTTCTAATTGGATAACTGATGTCAGCACCATAATACTCAAAAAAAGAGCCCACAAAAGAACCACAACCTATCCTAACTCTGTAGTCACAAATGAGAGATAGACACCAGTCAATACTTTCACTATAATTCTCCCTGGCTTTATCTACTAGTGCCTGTTTTTCTTTACAGTCAAATTTCTTTAGTCTTCTAAAGGGCACTCTAACGCCTCGCTTTTCAGGACTCATGCTCACCTCAACAAAAAGCACACTTGCTTTCCGTTCTTTTCGCCTGATGCTTTTAACCACTGCTGGCCAAAATGGGTATTTTTGATATTTAAACCAGACTATCATTCCTGTCTCAAACGAACGTGGCTCATAATGAAAAACGAAGCGTGGCAGTTCTTCATCTTCCTCACTTTCATCTAACATAGAAGTATCTAGAGATTTTAGATGCAATGACTTGCCTTGAAGTTCTCCTTCAAAGTCCTCCAAATCCAGTCTCTCAAGATTTCCTTCACTATTCAAAAGATCTAGGACATGGCTAGAGGCACTAAGTAAACCCTGGAATTCTCCTGCACCACATTCAGGCAATGTCACAGCACCTATCTCTGATTCTATGGAAGGCTGATTCTGGCTGACATCTACACGTGCATGTGAGGGACCTTCTCCTGGATCCTCAGTATTCTCTGAGAAGGAAGAACACTCAGGGAAAGCAGCCAGGGTCTCTGGCCAGGTGTCATCTGGCTCCTCTTTCAAAGCTTTGAACACAGTGAGGCTATCTGATGGCAAAATTGGAACAAAATTTTCATCTTTAACATATTTTTCCTCTTCTTTGACTGTGGAATACAAGGACATAACTGTGGAGATATCGATATTTTCCTTGCTCTCTTTCTCATCGTCGTCTTCGAAAAATGCAGGGAAATTTTGGCACGAGTTAGAGTTTTGTGCTGCCCTTGTTTCCATTTCAGTTATGTGTACCTGGGATTTATCATCATACAGAGAATCATCACTCTGTGAAGATACCAACAGGTGTGTTGGGTTTTCACTTTCCTCAAGACTCTCTGCTAGGTCCCCTGCACACTTCCGATACTTTTTCCGAGGGGGTGAATCAGATCGCCTGTGTGGTCCATTCTGAGGCAGTATACAGGTCTCTTCTTCACCTGAAGTGGTTGCTTGACTAAAACATGTTCTCTCAGCCAGAATATCCAGTGCCACTTTAAGTGATCTTTCATAGGCTGTTTCCTCTCTAGGTATACCACTGACTTCAGACTGTGATGCTAGTGAGGAATAAATGTCTTCAATTTGAGATTTATTTAGGTTCTTTATTTTTGTGCTTTCCACTTTAATTTTTTCATCTAGTGAGAGTATTTGAACTTCTACAGAAAATGCCTCATTTTCATCATCATTCGATGATGTCTCAGATCTAGATAAAACCTTTGCTGGCCATAACTGGTCTTTCCAGATGCATAAGACGTACTCAGCATCCATTATGACTTAAGATTAGTGTCTCACCTGGTTATTTTCAGAAGTTTGAGTATCTGGCTTTTTTTGCCACAGAAGACAGGCCCTCCCCAAAACTATATTCTTAAGGAGGTTTCTTTTGTCTTAATACTAAAGAAGGTTTACAGCTTTTACAGCCTGTTCTCTTCCACCTGAAACTCTGAAGGATTCTTAAACGTGGTTTGAATGAGACAATGCTGGAAAATACTGGAATAGGGAGAAAGAAAAGAAGAAAAATATTAGCAAATAAAATTCTTTTGTCAAAGTAGAAGGTGTAAACAACTATGAATATAGAAGAGATAAAATAAAAGAACAACAATGTTCAGTGGGACATCAGACGAGGAAAATGCAGCATAATATAGGGTGGGGGCTAAGAACCAGAGAAAGGTTCCATAGTATCAATTCCAACAACTTGACTTTACTATTATACATGCTTATTAAGGAGTGAATATGTGCACAGGCCCATGGAGCTGGGTCAGGGACTTTATGTAGCGGACACTTTGGTAGCTTTATGGCCCTAGTATTATACCTTAAAGCAATGGCTCTCCTAACCTAGCATGCATCAGAATCATCTATAAGACTTGTTGAAACTAGATTTCTGGGCCTCATTCTGAGAGTTTTATTCAGAAGATCTGGGTTGGGTCCCCAACTTTACATCTCTAATAAGTTCTCAAATGATGTTAATGCCATGTGTTCAGGAAGCACTCTTTGAGAAGCACTATTCTAACAGAATGCAGTTTCAGAATTTTAAGCTGCAAGTGCTTCCTTGTCCACCCAAAGCAACCAGACATATATTCTAGGATCTGTACCTCTTGGATTCAGTTAACACAGCGATCTCATTCAAAATGAGCTTAGGAGGTAGATACTGGGAATGGCTGTTATGGTTACTAACTGGATAGGGTAGTTATCAAGGATATTTTGAGAGTCAGGCAGTTGGCTGGGATCTCAGACAGTCACCTGAATGCCTTCCTTGCATGATTTCTTCACATTGCTTTATACATCAGATTCCTTCCCACAACCAGAAGCTATGACTTTCAATTACAAAACATTATAGCTGCAGAACAGGGAGAAAAATGAATTGTACCTCAAAATCTCAACCTTACATGATTTTAATAGGAAATGCAACTTTTAATTTAAAATGCTATGGCTGTAAAGCAGGAAGCAAAGTAAGTTATTCCCCGAGTTCTCAACATGTTTTTAATACGAAATGTTTTGTAAAATGGGAGCAGTCTTACCCAGGGGTAGGGGTGGGGCTGTATGGCTTCTCACTCCAGCTGCTGGTCCAGCAGATCCTCTGTCCCGCTGGGCACGCCTGCAGTGGCACGGCCTTTCTGGGGTTCAACTGGCATCACACGCAGATTCTCCGCTTACAGGAAATCAAATCAATTAACTGGAAAAGGGGTAAAGAAATGTCCCTACCAAAATTCTAGCAGGCATGTCATTCCAGAACACAGGAATTAGACAAAATCTCGTCCACAATGTACTATGAGGTGGCACAGGAGAGAATGAGGTGATAGTCGCCTTGTGTCTACTATGGACCTACTACTTTTCTAAGTTTTCTGTTTGAATCCTCCCATCAGTCCTCGTGTGGAGCTTTTTCTGCTACACATGTGCAATTTTTTGGATGGAATTTGCAATCACACCTTACATGCTGTCTCACAGTCTGCTGAGACATACGTGTTTCATTGCTTGTTTGTGAACTTCAGAAAAATGGTCACCTGGAGAAAATTTAGGAAACCTGACAGACGCCCTCTTGTGACTAAAGCCAGAAATGCAGCCTGCCCAGGGCCTTGTTGTTGTTGTTGTTGTTATTTGCCGTCGAGTCGGCCCCGACTCATAGCGACCCCTCCTTGGGTTTCCGAGGCAGTATCACTACGGAAG